TTTTAATTGGCATTTAAATCGGATTAGATTAGCATAAGACCCTAATCACCCCCCCTCTAGGGTCTATCACAAGCGGGATCTTGCCTACGGGTTTTAGTTAGGATGTCTCGGCTCCGACAGGTGCGCTGACGGTTAGAATGTGGCGGTTCTGCAGCTGGATATGTGTTGGCATTTCGTCGAACACGTGGTATGCGACGAACACCAGGTGGTGCGAATCTGATCGAATCTGAACGGCGGATGAATGAGGTCGGTGTCATGGGGAGGCAACGCGAGGGAAATAAGCGACTCAGATCTGGGAAGGGTCTGAACGACGCGGGGCACAGCGGGTCGACGGATCCGTCGCGGCGACGTTCGCCACACCGCCCTGCCGATGCCTCAGAGCCTTAGCGACGAGGGCTGAAGGGGGTGAGTGAGCTGGGCGAGGCGGAGCTCGCTGGTGGCGAAGAGGGGTCTGTAGGAGGACAGGGCGACGACAGGGCTGAAAGGAAGGAGGTCGAGGGCTAGGGCTTTGGAGCTCGGGCGCTGGCCTGGGGCGTCGTTGGACGGAGTTTGGAGCGGCGTGGGTCGAGCTCAGCGGGTGAGCGACTGGCGCTGTCGGCGCGTGAGCAGCAGGGGCTTGGTGAGTCGCAGCGGCTGCGGTTTGCTGGGAGTGGACAGGGGCGGACGGTGAGCTGGGGGTGAGTGGCGGGGAGATGCGGCGGTCGACGGGGAAAGTTGGGGACTGTGGTGAGGATGGGTTTTCGTTCTCTTTGGGAGGGAAGAGAAAAAGATGAAGAGAGAGGGAGCTGATGAGATCTGAGTGAGAGAGAGAGTGTGTGAAATAATAGAGGAGAGAGAGAGTCACGTGGGTGAGAGAGAGATTGAGTGAGAGTGAGCTGGAGAGTGAGAATGAGGTTTGTAGAGAGAGGAAAAGAGATTGGGTGTGGGACACGAGGGAGGGGGAAACACGAGGTGGGGATTTGCGGGATTTAGGGAGTGAATTGGGGAAATGGGGTAGGGGAGAGAGAGAGATATGAAATACCGGTAAGAGGAAAAACACAGGGAAAAATACCTCTTTAAAAATAAAAATTGAGAGATATGAAATACCGGTAAGAGGAAAAACACAGGGAAAAATACCTCTTTAAAAATAAAAATTAAAAAAATTAAAATACTAGAAAATTTATTCAAATAAATATTCAAAATTTATAGTCAAAATAATAATAACAATAACAATAATGAATATTTACCTATTAGTTTAAAAGTTTAACCGAAACAATTAAATTTATAATTAGCAAAACGATTAAAATAAATATAAAATCGTATTTTAAATCAGAGAAAATTCTAGAGAAATTGGGAAAATACAAATACTCTTTTTAGAAAAATAATATTTAATATTTAATTATCAGAAAATTATTTAAACCCGTATTAGAAATTTACGGTCATTACAGATTCTCTAGGAACTTCCCGTGAAAGAAAGGGAACAGTTTAGACTCATATACCTGTTGGAGTATAGAGAAGCAGTTTATACTCGTATACTCTTCGAAGTGTCGCCGCTCTCATTGGGCTTAGTTTAGTGTTATGACGTCAGCTTCAACCAAGGTTTGGATGCTATTCTTGAGAGCGAAGCAAGCCTTGGTAGGATGAAGGATCCTCCTGTGGTATGCACAATACTTTGGATCCGAAATGTTATCAGCTTCCTCCTGATTTACGATAGGTGGAAGCTTGATCTTGTTGTTTTCAAGGAGAGATTCGAAAATGGCTGGAATGTCTTCGTCCTTGAAAGAGTACTCTTTTTGGAGTCTCGAATCCGAAGTCTTTTGTTGTCTCCGGGATTGTTGTTGTGACGTTTGATTAGCATCAACAGCTGTTGCAGGTGCCTTCCCCTTGCCACGGGAGATGAAGCTTGAGTTCGGAGGATTAGCCATCGGTTGGCTTCTCTCGGCCTGTTTCCTTTTGAGGAAGTGTTCGGCCCGCTCTCCGCGCATCTTCAGCTCTTTCCAGGTATTGGAGGGTGCTATTCCCATGACTTCCATCACGTCCAAAGAAAGGTTGTTGTGACTGTTAGACCCTAGAGGGGGGGTGATTAGGGTCTTATGCTAATCTAATCCGATTATATGTCAATTAAAATGAGCCTAATTGTGAGGATTCACTTGTAATACACTTGTACACCGAGAGAAGTGTGTGGTGAGAGACGGGGTCGAATCCAAGAGGAGTGGCGTCGGTTGACGTGCCTAGGGAGAGGTTGTAACCGAGCACTTGAGGAGGAGGACACGGGCTAGGACCAACACTTAGTGTGTGAGGTGTGATTGCATAGTGATTGTATTGTGAGGTGTAAACGTTGTTCGGGTGAACGTAGAAAACCCGGTTGTGATAGTGGAGATCTCCTCGAGGTGAGGAGCGGAGACGTAGGTCGTGGGGACCGAACTCCGTAATCATATTGTTTGTTTGTAATTGCATTGGCGCACTTCCTTTTATGTTCATATGTTATATCGCCTTTGTACATTGCTTGTTGATTATATTGCCCACTATCTAGTTTAAATTATTTACCCTTGAGTTTATATATCCTTGCACATACATTGCCTATATCTCTTTGTTAGGATATATCTTGTTGTTCATATTACTTATTCTAGCTCATATACATTGTTGTATTTCATACTTGCTAGGATAACTTGTTAATTAATTTTAATTGGCATATAATCGGATTAGATTAGCATAAGACCCTAATCACCTCCCTCTAAGGTCTAACAGAATCTTCAGCTAACGTCCATGGGTGGGTCTCAGTGAATCAGGATCCTCTCCTTATGAGGAGAGTCCTCGTATCTCCTCATGAGGAGAGAGAGAGAGAGGAGAGAGAGTGAGGTTGTTCTCTCTCCTCTCAACCTCACTCTCTCTCCTCTCTATATCTATCTCTCTCCTCATGAGGTATATGAGGACCCCTCTCCTCATGAGGATCCTCGCGAGGAGAGGATCTGCATCCGGTCTCAATCTCCATCAAACGAGCTCCACTTTGCATGATCCTGATCCACGTGCCACCTCGTTCATCGTAACCGGGTTCCTTTTTCAAACCCCAAATAGAGCCCACAATCAAAAAAGGAAAAAAAAAATAAAAAACTTAAAAAAGAATAGAAAAAGGGGAAAAAACAATGAATCGATGGTCATCGGTAACTTTAACAAAAGCCGGCACAACACTAGCAGTAGCACCCCCGACCTCACTGCCAGCACAACGCTAGCGCCGTCACCTCGTACTATTCGCCGTTCGTTGCCTGGGGTTTCTCTGCGATCTCTTCGTCTCCTCTCAAGGTCCCCCCTCCCTCAATCTCCAATTTCGAATTCTTTAGGTTCTTGATCGACCGAGCTCGCAGTGCAGGTCGAGTATCAGCCCGAGATCGGTTGCCGAGATGGAGGA